ATATATAACTGACTTTTTAGCGTTTTCTTAATCTGATCTCATTATCGTTAGTTTTAAGTAAGATTTTCAGTGAATATGTCTGTATGTAACATGTGTATGTGTGCTTGGCTGGAGTTTGACTTTTTTGTTTTTTATTTGCAGGATCAGTACAGTATGGAAGCCCGTTCCCGCCACTGAATAAAAAATAAAAGAGGTAATTGTGACTTTTTATCTCACAATTCTGACTTTTTTCTCAGAATTGCGTGATATACTCACAATTGCGAGCTATAAAGTCAGAATTGTGAGATATGAAGTCACAATTGCGAGATATAAACTCTAACTAATATATCACATCTCACAATTCTGTGAAAAAAAGTCAGAATTGTGAGGAAAAAGTCGCAATTACCTTTTTTTTTTTTTTATTCAATGGCGGAAACGGGCTTCCATAGTACAGTGCAAGCAGAGCGGAAGCACAACTCCGTATCGATGAGGTGGTGTTGCGAGATTTGTAGATTTTCCTCGCCCAACCAGCGTGCCCTAATCACACAATACAAGCTGAAACACTGCCATCAGGCAAGTCACTGTCCATTCCCATGCAACTATAAAGATTCTGTATGCACATTTAGGAGTGACCTATCTCTGAAGAAGCATTTAACTTGTGACCATATCAGTGTGTTCAGAGTAAGTGTCTAAAATGTAACCTATACGATTTGTATGTCATATTCCAAGTCTTCTGAAATCATACAAACTCTTTGTATGATGAAAGCATAAAAACGTCAGTCTTGGTTTACAAAAATGGTTGATTGTATTAGCTTCTACATAAATATCAAACCTCATTGGTTCTTGCAAGTCTTTTGATCAAATGTCATGACACAAGAACTAATAAGGTTTGATTTTGTTGTTGTATTATGTCGTAAATGCAAATGACAATTATCATCTTTGGTGACCTATCCTTTTAAATCCTTTAAAGTGTTATTACAACCCAATGAATTTAAGGCAGGGGTGCCCAATCCTGCTCCTGGGGAGGCAAGATCCTGCAGAGTTTAGCTTCAACCCCAATTAAACACACCTAAACCAGCTAATCAAGGTATTCAGGATCACTACAAACTTCCAGACAGGTGTGTTTAACCAGGTTGGAGTTAAACTCTGTAATACATTATTGGCCCTCCAGGAGCAGGATTAGACACCCCTGATTTAAGTGGCCACTATTAAATCTTATTTTGGTGCTGAACAAAAAGGTAACAAACAACTGTTGTTGCACCACATCACTGGAGCCCAGTGACCGTGAAGATGATGTGATCAAGGCTGTGGTGATTGGAATCGTGGTTGAGGACCTCTCCCAGCGTTCTACAATGATGTTGCCCTCGTGATTGAGGAAGAAGTGGTAATGCATCACCTGAGTGATGTACCTAATGCTTTTCTGAACCTGATGGGCCTGGTGTACGCATTAAACCTTGACTATCCAAAGGAATTAAAATTCACATTTGAAGTGATACAGCGTCTGTTTATTGGAGTCGGGTCAGACTCTTGCACCGCAAGAGTTCACTCTTTGAAGAGCAAGTGGCTGTGATAAGACAGAAAACAAACAAACAAACAAAAAATGTCCCTTCTTGCTACTGTTTAACCGATGGACTGGTTTAAAGTGTAAGAGCATTGTTGTTTTATATCTCATTGTTTTAAGTGGAACATTGGTATTCTTTAATTTTTTTTAAAACTGACTGTTTTGTTTTTCCTTGTACTG